ATGGAATGCGCAAGGCAAAGGTATAACCTAGGGCATTTCATTTCACCGGTCATAGGTGTGTAGAGAAGTTTATGACCGGGTTTAGGATAGATGGCCGTACTATCAAGAGGGGCAAACTTGTTTGCATATCGGTCATCTAGTGCCACTCGAGTGATCTAACTTTGCATTGTCGCTAGGATCGAGTGGCGTGACAAGTTGAGTGGCTAACATCCTTTGGGAAATGTTTATGAAAATGCTAACACACATACACATGGTGGTGTACACTTGGTGGTGTTGGCACATTTACAAAGGAGGTGGTGTTTGCAGGGGTGAGATGGGTTTGGGTCCCTCTCTCCCTCTCTCCCTCCAGCCGAGCTTGCTCGGCGGGATTCGGCGCTTTCGGGAAAATAGAATGCCTATTTTCTATTGCGCCGGATGCAAGTTCTTGTGGTTAGCACATTGGAGCAAGGGTGATGAAGTTAGAAGTGAAAAGCGAGTTAGTCGCGAAGATCTTTGGCGTCGGTCAACCGACCGGACGCTGGATCTGAATGCTGCCGGACGACTGGCAGGTTGCGTCGGTCAGCCGACGTCTGATGGATGACGCAAGAGCCGGAGGTGACCGGACGGTTGGTCCGTCCGATCAAATGTGACCGGACGCGTCGGTCGAGGTCGGTACCTTCTTTGAAGCGACCGGATGACTGGGGGTTCGCGCGTCCGGTCGCTTGAAACTTCTTCGCGTCCGGTCGAGTCAAGTGGATATTGGAATCGGAGACACGCGGGCGTCTGCAGCGCGGCCGGATGTTGAGGTCCAACGTCCGGTCAACACGACCCGGGCGTCAGTCGGCCCGACCGTTGCCCATGAAGGGTAGCACGGCTAGTTTAGCCCTTGGGGCTATAAATAGAAGTGGCCCTCGGCCATGGTGGTCTTTGAGCACCTCAAGGGACTTAGTGTCCATGCTTGTGAGTGCTTGGGAGTCCTCCATCACACACATACTTGATAGCGATCATTCGATTGTGTGAGTGAGCGATTCTAGTGCGATTGCATCGTGAGGTTGCATCGAGTGGCACTAGGTGGTCGTGTTGCAAGCGGTGGTGCTTGTTACTTGGAGGTTGCCACCTTCTAGACGGCTTGGTGGTGGTCTCCGTCGAAGCCCCATAAGAAGCTTGTCGTGGCTCCGGAGAAGTGCTTGTGAGGGGTACTTGCTGCGCCCATGAGCCATGAGCAACTCTAGTAAAGCGTGTCATTGAGCTACCCTCACTCAAGGGGTAGGTTCTTCTTGGCGCCCGACGCGTGCGGGCTTAGCGGGTGATGCTAATTAGCCGTCGAACCACCAAGTGAGCGGTCGACACAACGGGGACTAGCGTGTTGGCAAACACGTGAACCTCGGGAGAAAAATCATCGTGTCAACCTTGTTCTTCCCGTTGGTTTGCATCCCCATTACACAAGCTTGCAATTACTTATATATATATCTTAAGCTTGTGTAGTTGCTCTTGTAATTAGATAGCTTGTGTAGCTAGCTAATTACCTTCTTGCTAATGTAGCATAGAAGTAGCTCCCCTTGCGTGGCTAATTTGGTTTTAGTAACCTTGTTAGTCACATTGCTTTTTGTGTGTAGCTAAGTATTTGCGCTCTCTAATTAGGTGTTGGTTGCCTTGTTATTGAGCATTGCTAGTGAGCTTAGTTAGCTTTGTGCTTTTGCTTACTAGCATGTGTAGGAGCTCCCTTGTTACTTAAAGTACTAGTGGCATAGGTTTGTGTGACCTTGCTCCTAGAATTGTTTAGGAGAGCTCTAGCTAGCCCGGCACCTTAGTTGCTTTATTAGTATCTTTGTAAGGTGCTAGTGAACATATATAAAGGGGTGTAGTCTTGGCTAGACCGATTGTTTTAATTCCGCATTTATATCGGTTAGCCGACGCGATTAATTTTAGAAAAGACTATTCACCCCTCCTCTAGTCCACCATCTCGACCCTTACACCAGGCCAAGAAGAAGAAGGAGGCGGCGAACCGGAGCCAGAGACGTAGCAGACACACCACCACCACCACCACCTCCACCACAACGATGGTGGCGGGAGAACTCCCAAACCCTAAGGCCCGGGAGCGTCTACGACCGCGCCGACACCACCAGGCGGAGCGAGGAAGGAGAGCGGAGAGAGCGAGGATGGAGAGCGGTGAGAGCGAGTGAGAGCGCCGCGGGGAGGGAGGGAGGGGATAAATGGAGGCCGAAACCCTAGCGGCGCCGCGCGCGGAGATTTTACCACTCCCGTGTGAGCCCACGGGGGCTAACGAGTGGGAGGCCGAAATGGCCAACGCCGCGCCCGGGAGGAACAAATTTTTTTTTCGTTCCCCCGGGGCATGGCTGGGGGCTGCTTTAATGGTCGTGCGGGCCGGGCTGGGGAGGGAGGCCAAGCAAACAAACACCGCCGGTTGCAGCCTACGGGCGCATTGGCCCAGCTGGTCCAGGCAAACAAACGCACTCGGAGTTCATCCGCGTTTCCGTGGTGCCATGCCGAGACACGCCGCTTGCACCCACTCTGCCAGGTTTGGATGGTCAACCAAGCAACCAAACAGCTAAATGTTGCATCCCCGAAGCCTGTTTGTCCTGGATACACCCAACCAATCACACCCTACATGGCTTATAAGTTCAAGTATCAAGTGGGGTCCTCAGCTGCATATGCAATATAATGCATCCACCGGTGGTGGAATCCATACACCCTGTAATTTTTCAACAGTGTTTTCTCCTATGCTCTGATCTTCTTGTGAATTGATGGGTCCTTGTTATTTGCATTGCTTGGATCCTTTGCCCCACATAATAAATTCTTGGTTCTATATAAAACCACTTGTGGGACTTATTTTATTTTCGCTTTATTCTTCTGAAATTAGTCATGTCCTGCAAAATGTAAATGTATGACACTCTGTTCTTCGTGACGTCCACCATTTGATTAAAATGCTTTTTGGTTACATGCTCATAAATTGTTATTATTGTACTTGAGCTTTGCATGTTGCAGACTTGAGCATAGTTCGAGATGAAAGAACTGTGTTGAATCCACATGGAGTAATGCATGCTTTGAGTTTCTATGTTAGTCACTTCAATTTGACCAGACAGCAGGTATAATATTTACTTCTCTATCTTGTTTTCATATTTTAGTATTGTATTAGATGAGCAGTCATCATGGGAACTAATTTTCCTTATAGGACGCTTCTGAAGCTTTTCTCCATCTTCTGATCTCATTGAGGGATGAATTTTCCCATTGTTATGTACCACATAGGAGTTCTCTGGCAGACATCACCCTTTCTCACTCCAAAGTATACAAGCAAAGGGAAGGTAACCTGCCTGAATGCAAGCACCGGAAACAAAATCTATTTGGCCCCTTTGTCTTGCAGAACTGTTCATCTGTGGTAGATTCCTATGCTTCTTATTTTGTCACTGTTAAACTGTGGCTTATAAAAAAGTAACCTACTGTTGTCTTCATAGCTGAATGCATTTTATTCCCTCTATACCACTAGATACATAGGTATTGACACGATCTCCAGTGCATGCCCCTACCTTTTTTTGTAGCTGTGTGGTAAAATCATGATCATGATTTTGGAAGTCATTTAGCCAACCACTACCGATGCTGTTTTCATATTACCAATCAAAGTAATTTTGTGCATTTTGACAGTTAGCTTAAAATACTCCTATTTTGTTAACTTTTAATGTTCTGCCCTTGTTACATATCACACAGCTGTCATTGGACTTCGAGAATTTCCACTGCTTGCCTCTTTCGCCAGTGCTTAATGCAAAAGGAGATATTGTATGACTGCATGAACCTTCCTAAATTTCATTGCGTGATTCAAGATTTTTTTATTCATTTGCTGTGCATTTTATGCTCATTAATGGTACTTTTGTTTCTTCCATTTACTCGGCATGTTCGCTGGTTGGTTTCTAGGTGATAAGTCCGGCGGGTGCTGGTTTGTTGTGAGAGAAAAAATACTATTGACTAGCTGATAAGCTCTGGCTGAAATCAACAATCAAATATGTTGACTAGCCAATGCCCGTATGTCGCTACGGGTGGTAAAACTAGTTAATCCAATTTACTCCGATGAGACGGGTTTTTAAAACAATGTGGGTCGTCACTGTAGCCACAGTCGCCTTCACATGGCAGGCCGCTTCTCACATGACGTATAGGGATGGATAGAATGAACTCTGTTCTTTCAGGCATTTAGTCGAGTACCTTGCAAACGATGTCCCTGGGTTCGCCATCCAAGCAAGGAAACCTGTGTGTAAATCAAGCACGGGAGCTGTGGGTTGATGCAAGCAAGCTCGATCTCCGGGGCTGCTGCTCGCTCCATCACGTGCTCGCCGCGGCATCTGGTCACCTGATGCGGTTGTTTTCTGCAGGCTCGTCGGAGGTTGCTGTTTGTGTGCTCGAACGGGCCAAACCACTCCGAGCTCACATCCACGTCCTGACGTCACTGGACCTACCAAGCTCACCCGACTCTGTCGTTTGCTCGTCGCAGTAGCTGGCTGGGAGCGGTTGCTTGCTTTCCTGCACGCTCGCCGCCGACTACTGCTCGTCGCGCGCTCAAGCTGGCAAACTCCACACCGGCCCCTTGCATCCTCCGACCTCACTGTCCCATGCGAGCTCGCCGGCGCATCAACATTGCCGGTTCTGTCGACCTCGCATCGTCCGCATCCCCGCCCGATCTGCGGCGGCGGGGATGGCCATAGGAGGAGGACGATGTTGACACAGGGGCAGAGGGTGAAGAGAAATTCAGAGAGGGAAGTTGGAGGAGCCAACGAGTTTCCTACCCACGGCCGGGGAGCGCTGGGCGCTAAGGCGGCGGCGGTGGATGATGGCCTGATGTGGGCCGGACGAAGAGGAGGCGATGGATGGGGACTGGGGAGGGAAGTGCCAGGCCGCCAGGCGAGGTGGGCGACGTGCACCAGGCCCACATGGCGGCGCAAGAAACTACTACGTGGAGCGGCTTCACCACGAGGAGAGATACTATGACATGACACTAGACCAGTGGGTGTAGCTTGATGGATTGCCTAAAGTACTTCACTGTGTTGGAGCATCTTGACAATTATCGATGTGATCGGTTTTGGCACATCATTGCTGCCAAATATCTGTCACTTAAATCAGAAGTTGATGAGGTAATTATGTTCTACTTTGTATTAATTGTCACTGCAATGCAAATTCTATGGCACCCATGTTTTGTTATAAAATTTGACTTCATCGATAACTGTTACAGGAAAAGGTTAGCAAGCTTAACACCTGCTTCGACTATGACACTTGCAGTTGCAGGGATATGTTCCCCATGGAGGAAATGCCATGTTCATCATCTTCACGCGAGCAACAAAGCAGTTGATTATCAGTCAGTGCCCCAAGGTATCTAAAATTGAAGTACTTGTTGAGACTTACATGAACTGTCATAAAATTAAGTAACACCTCCAATATGTCCTCTTAAAGATTTTGTGCATCCATTTGCTACGTGCTTCAGTCGATTTTGATGGTGAGCCCATCAAACATCAGGTAAAGCCCGCTGCTATATGTGAAATGTGGTTACTCTATCACACAATATAATTAGCGTACTGAGTGATCAGTACTTCAACTGCAGGGACATATTTCTTTCCCTTTACTTCTCAATCTATCCCCGTTTGTGGGAGGTGCATCGAGTGCTGGACCTTTAGCAATGAATGTGCAGAGAGATGGCCAGCAAGCTCTCCATCTATATCGACAACTGAATATGCATTTGAGCTTACCTACTGGAGGGTACTTATCAAGTCAGCCGTGTAAGGAAGAAGCAACAAACAATAGTGGCCACTCAATTCACGTGGTTGGTTACTCCACTTAAAATTTTACTACCTGATCTGGGTGGTAACTGGTAACAATCTGATTACTTGCTATTTTCAGGCAAATGTTGATGTGTCTAGTAGTTCATCATCATCATCATCATCACCGCAGCCATCAATGAGCAAGTTATATGGTCTCTCGGCCGTCGTTGAGCACTACGGGAAATGTGGAGGAGGACATTATGCAGTTTACAGGAGAGTTGCATCAAATCCTGACCCTGATGATCCAGGGAAACCTCTTGCAGGCCTTGGCAGGCGGTGGTTTTACATCTCGGATGGCCACGTATCAGAAGTTTCAGAGGAGGATGTTTTGTGTGCGGAGGCCACGCTCCTTTTCTATGAAAGATTGTAGCCGCTTGTTGAGTAGCTAACATATGCGTCATAACAAAATTTAGGGCAGTTTTGTTGTGAAGAGTACGGTAAGCCTCCAAGTAGAGGGAATAAGCCGTGGCACAAAAACAAGGTCTCTCGGCCTCTTGCCATGGTTGCTTTCAGCATGATACATGGACTGCAGGCATTTTCTGGGTCCTGCAAACGGGAAAATTCTTCTTAAAATGCGATAAGTTGGGGAGGTGTTAGTGTTACTCTTTAAGAATAAATAAATCAGACCTTCATTGTTTTGTGACATTGCAAGCAGGAATTGGTGGATCATGTGAGTTTTGTTCTGATGATGATGAAATGCGTGAATCAACTTTCGGCTCACAGTGTTTCTGGTTTTCTTTTGTCCTTTTTGACAAGGAGTTTCTGGTTTTCTATCAGCAGCAGCCAGCAGCATAATAAAAAAATGCCAAAATGCAGTTCCACTGCAAAGAGCCTTTTTTCCGAAAAAAAAAGAAGGCTGTATGAGAAGCCAAATGCAGAAGCAGAAGGCTGCATGTGAAGCCAAATGCAGTTTCAACGGGACCGGAAAAAAAGGGGTGATGTCTATCAGGAAGGACAACTGGCTAATCACGCCAATTGATAATCAGCTGTATTTTTTTTGGAATGACTCTATCACTCTATCTTTAATCTCTCCTTTTGTTGGCAGGCGTTTCCAAGAGCTGGAAAACTGCAACTCTGCCGTAAGGGAAATTGTTTTGGCAGCCCCTTGCCAGCATGCCTTTTACCTGTTTTCCTGTGGTACCTGCCAAATGTTTGGCGTGCCAGCTTGCAATGCAAAACCAGCAGCCATTTATTATCTGAGGTATTTTTTTATTTGAAAAAGGTATTATCTATGGTTTTTTTTTTGAGGGAGGTGTTATCTGTGGTATTGCCAGTGCCAAAAGAATACAAGAATACCGCGCCGAATAGCGCGATATATCGCCGTGACCCCAAGAATGAAAATACTGCCGGTATATGCCAACTAGTGTATGGGCCAGGCTTCTTTGGGCCATTTGGTTCCAATCCCAGATTCCAGCCCGAGTGACATACACATATATGAAACTTGATTCAAATTGAGCGGGAAGAACCGCAGTCCTCAACGCCATCTTCTTCCGTGGATCAAGATGAAGATGCTGAGATGGATATGAGTCTAGGAGCTCCTCTTCTGAATCAGAAATGGGTCAGTCTGATGTTTATGGAAAAGTACAGCTTGTAAATCAAATGCTTAACTGTTTAGTGCTTATTATCTTGTTTGTGAGTTGTAGGCTCGTGGCTGAAGTTAGAACAATCCACTGCTGAAGAGTTGTTACTTCCTTTTAGAGAGGAATACAGTAGGGAAGCTCCTAATAGGTCATTCCATGGTTTTGAAAACCATGCTAAAATGAAAGAGAAGACCTATACATGCTAAAGTGATATGGTGCAACTATATGAAATGATGTGCAAGGAGAGGAGGCAGACATTGTACAGAAGAAATGAGCCAACAAGAATGCTTTGGCGAAGCCTAGGTCATTCTGTTCAAGTGAAGATTTACAGCATCAATGAAGCTAGTTTTCTACTGTTCAATGGATGGTCTTGTTTGATGAAAAAATAGGCCATTTCTTTGCTTCCACACCCGCCATGCTGCAGTTGTGAAGGATTGCTGGAATTGGCCCTTGTTTGCGAAACATGCTGACAGGTTGATGAATGATGATCCCATCCAACTCCAAGGGAATCACAACATCTGACACTGAAGGGGCTATTGAACAACAAGTGATAGGCATTTTCATCCACAGATGTTACACACCCTCAATTTTGTCTCTCTTTCTTCTTGGGGTATCTCTGTTATTGAGTCTATACATAAAAAGAAGATATGGTAAACACTTTTACCTGTTTTATAAAACTTGGATTTCCATGCCGATGCAAGTGTTTTTAGTGGAGCAAGTGACGTGAAACGAACTGCATGAAATTTACTTGATGAAAAAGTTGTGTCTTCCCATGTGTCAACCAGGGTGTCAACTTTTCTACTATCTTGAAGAACATGGATTTTGGCCTGTAGAATTTGGAACTCCCAAAGAGCTTGCCCTGGCATGGCAAATTGGGTTTTTGGTGTGTTATCAAGTGGGAATTCCTTCAGGGAGACATTTCCCATTTTGGTAAAGCAAAGTTGTTACTTCCATTTGATGCATTGTTATTGGCAAAGCAAGTTGTTACTTTGAGTTATGCGTTGTTATCTTGGTGAAGTTGAACTTGTCTACTTTCACTTTTGGAGTGTAGAAAGTTCCATAAATGGCGTGATTGCCCCGGTAGAATTTTAGCTCAAACTGGTAGAACTATTCAATCATGGATGCCTAACAGGGTTCGTTGTACTTCATCAAAACACAAAATTTCACATACAAAGATATATCAAAGAAAATTACCATAGATTTCAAACTTTGTCAAAGTGCTATGTGTCTTGATTAGGAAAAACTCCTAGCTATGCAATATCACAGTAGGTAAGTTGCCATTAGTAGTATTCTTTTTAACATTTATCGCCTGATTTTTTTTGTGTGTGGAGCATGTCTGCTATTCTTTTTAACTCTTTATCGCCCGATATATCGCACTTATATCGTTAAACGATAAACAGAATTTCAGCCGATATGCGGCGCTTTATACTATCTCTAACTTTGATGATGAGGCACAGAAGCTGCTAAAAAATGCTGTTGGTGGTGTAAATCTTTTCTGTGTGCCAACCTCTCCATCACAAATCCCCCCACACCCCCACCCTCCTCTCCTCCTGCATCCACCGCGCCATGTCTCAGGAAGGAGCCAACTTGCCCCAAGAAGTGGAGGGGAGCCATGATCAGGCCACCGCCCCCCATAGCAGCATCCCTGCCGGCGTCGGGTCACCGACGGCGACCGTGATGCCGGCTGGTTCCAACCCCAGCTCTGTCAGCATGCTGGCCAGCGCCATCAACAACGCTGGGTTGTCTGAGCGTGCCAGCCCGGCGGTGCTCTCTGCCGGCAAGGATAGCAACGCCGCGTCCAAGATCGCCAGCCCGGCGGTGCTCCAGGCCGGCGAGGACAGCAGCGCCGTGTCCAGGATTGCTAGCCCGGCGGTGCTCCATGCCGGCGAGGAAAACAAAGCCGAGTTCAAGCTCGCAAGCCCGGCAGTGGTCCTTGCCGGCGAGGAGAAGGGCAACGACGCTGCTGGGTCCAAGCTCGCTGGCCCGGCGATGCTCCATGACTGCGACAACAGCAAAGCCGGGTCCCATGCTGGCGTGGACAACAATGCCGCCCGGTCCAAGCTCGCCAGCCCGGCGGTGCTCCATGCCGGCGATGACAACAACGGCGGATCCAAGATCGCTGCCCCCGCAGTGCCCCACGCCATCGTGGACAAGACCACCGGCACCAAGCTCAACAGCCCGGTGACGCTCCATGCCAGCGAGCACAACAACGCCGGGTTCAAGCTCCCAAACCCCGCAGTGCTCCATGCCAGCAAGGACATGGACAACAATGCCGGGCGGCCCAAGTTCGCCAGCCCAGGGGCGGTGTTGCTCCATGCTGGCGAGGACAACAAAGCCAGGACCAAGCTCGCCATCCAGGCAGTGCACCATGCCGGCGGTAACGCCGGGTCGTCCAGGCTCACCAGATCGGCAGCGGCTGCGCTCCATGCCGCCAAGGAGAACGCATCCAAGCTCGTCATCCAGGTGGTGCCCCGCCCCCATGCTGGCAAGGACAACAACGCTGGGTCGTCCAAGGCTGCCACCGGACCAGCGGCGGTCGACGCCGGCGAGAGCAACGCCAAGGAGGGAAAGAACAACGTAGCTGGAGAACAACGTGCCCATGAGGCCGACGTGGGCGGCGGCAGCGGGAAGGGCAACGCCGCCGCGGTGGAGGACGCGGACCCCAACTTGCACATCTTTACCGAGAGGGAGCGAAGGAAGAAGATGAAGAACATGTTCAGCACCCTGCACGCGCTCCTCCCCCAGCTCCCCGACAAGGTCCGTGCATGGCTCTTTTTTTTTTTTCTTGATTGAAGTTTTCCATGAGCGATGATGTGCGGTTGTGCGCGCACAAGCTGGAAAAAATCGTTCCTTTGTTTTTCTTTGCTGTTTTCGTAAATCTTTCTATTCGTATGCAGATCACCAACTGCATGCGTTGTCGCGAATTCTAGATTTTCACTTATTAGTGCTTGCTTTGGCAATGGTGTGATCATTAGAAGTAAATGGGGGAACTTCTGTATTTCTTATTAGGCAAAATCTGCTCGAGGACGCCGCAGAAACGTGTAATTAGCTGGCACACACCGTCAAACGGAGAATTTGCCCAATACAATTACAAATCTGTGGTTGTTTGCCAGGGGACGCCATGCCGAATAAAATAATTATTTCCACCATTATGGATAGCGGTGCATGTCAGGCAGGTAGGGGCAAAAGCGTCTACTCACTAGGCTTTCTCTCCCCGAGCAGTGGAAATGATTATTTTATTCGGCGCGATGTACAATGGCAAACAACTACAAATTTATAATGGTGTTGGGTAAATTCTCTGTTTAGTGATGTGTGCCAGCTAATTACACATTTCTATGGTGTCCTCCAGCAAAATTTGCCTTCTTATTACTAAAGCATTTATGGAGTTCTCCACATCCGAATTTTATCTTCTCCCTCTTCGCACTGCATCCTTCATCAGGTAGGTTAGGTTTTAGATCTCGGATTTGGATGCAAATAGTAAGGAGGCTAGGGCATTCTGGCTTTTCTAGGTATATAATTTTTGCTATGCTCCAATACACACATTATATGTAGATACATAATAAAAACTATGTATGTAGAAAAGGTAGTACGACTTATAATTTGGAGCGGAGACAGATATGAGTTAGCATGTCAACGGATTGGATGCTACAAAATTGGCATGATGTTACCGAAGACGAGCACTAGATGTGGATACCCGATCCAAATAAGGAAGAAAGTCGATATAGCCTGTTGGGTTTGGATCCGTTCAATATGCACTTAAAAGTACTACTGTACGAGGCTTGATGTAGTTTCTTGTTTTTGATCGAAATACAGCTCAAAAAATAAATTGGGAGAAAATCATATACTTAGCTATCTTCTTGATGAGAAATCATATACGCCAGCTAAACCTATTAATGCAAAGGCCAACCCGACTAGTGCATTGAGTGGGTTGGACCTTCAATTTCTAGTCCACTCTAATTCTTTGGACCGGGCTTGGGCTTCATTTTCTTGCATCTGGGCCTAGACCGATCGGTAAAAATACATGGTGCCTAGGGGCAGGCTTAGGCTTTTTTTTTGGCTCGGTGTCAGCCTTTGGGTGGGTTTGTGCTGTAGGATTTGTCATCGGACTTTTTAAAGCCCGTCCCAACCCAGGTTTGAACATGTCTAATGTCAGCCCCAACCAATCCTTGTTTTCACACACCCCCTCCCTGCAGCTTCAATCGCCTTCTTCCAATGTTGCCTCTTCCATCATTCTAATCTCTCATCTTAGCCATATTCCTTCGCAACATAAAGCATCTTCCTTAATTTTCCATTATGGATTTTATTGCATACTAACCCCTCTCCCTTGTCATCCCTCCTCTCCCAGACCACGCTATGTACATTTGTTATATATCTAAATGTGGAATACTCCATGTTTAGTGAATTGTGTACCAGAGGGTGTGACACCCCCTCCCCTGAAGGGACCATAATTTCTTAATTTTCATTAAAGCTAAGGAAACAACAACGGGCAATGCTAAGGTACAAACTTTATCTTCAAGGAGGTAATATCTCAAATCAATCTGAGCGTTGTTTTTTCATATTTTATAAATTACTTAATAAATTAACAAATCCAGGAGAAAGAAAGTAATCAGTGTGGATTCCCTAATAATCACGGGAGAAAAGATCTCGTTTCGATTCCCCTAATCACGGGATTCCGACGGATCGCGCATGAAAGGGGTCGAGTGGCCGGACAGACTCGCGTCGGGTGCAGTATGTGCTCGTGCTGAATGCACGCTCGATCGTCCTCGTGCAGGGTGTGATCTACTGATCTGGTTGGCATTTGTTTTTTTTCAAATAAATTCAGTTTTGTGAAATTGCGCATATAGCTATTCGCATTGCCAGCCACGTACTAACACGTATACACTCGCTACCTACATGTAAGTCACGTACACGTACTCACATTACCGGCCACTCGCTAACACGTGTACACATGATACACACATGTCACGTACACGTAAATATGTAATCACGTACATATGTACGGTAACACATACGCAAATGCTATTATTATCACACATACAAGTCATATTAGATACAAAATCAAGTGTATCAGGCCACATACAAAAATACAAGGTAACCAAAATATATCAAATTTAAAGTTGATTGCCATATCTACCGGATCATGCATGCATCAATCCAATCTAGAAAAAAAATTGTATCTAAAACTTCCTTTATTTATTCAATTTTATCAATTAAAAAATAAATAAATATTTATTTCATTTATTACCTCCTAGGAGGTAATATGTTGTCATAACCGTCCGATCAAAATAAATGAACGGCCTACAGTTATTTGGAGGTACTGGAGCAAAGCCCAACAGCAATACCTTATTTGCCAGGTGTGCCCATGGCATCTGAGGCCTAGGCATATGGTGATGAGAGATAAATGAGGTATTATGCAAAATTGCATAATAATCAGCACCGATGTTTGGCCAAATGAGTGGTTATTACTATGCATTATGGTTGTAGCAGGAATGTACTTTGAACCTTTTATGAATGTTTTCTGTTAATTTTACTGGACTTGGATTCACCTTTTGTTCTGTCTCAATCTTTCATTGTGCAAATATGCATGATCTGTTGTATTGGTGATTCAATGATTTTTCAGGGGACGTTTCCATTATTTATGTTGAAATTGATATATGATGTTTGCAGGCTGACAAGGCCACCATAGTTGGGGAGGCCGTAACCTACATCAGGACTCTGGAAGGCACCCTCCAGAAGCTGGAGCGCAAGCGCGCGCTGGCGGCGCAGCAGCAGCATGGCCAGCAGCAGCTGGCGGTGGGTGCCGGCAGCAGCCGCGCGTCGTCCGCGCGCCACCCCGCACCACCAGCGCTGCCAGCACCAGCACCGGCCCCGGCCCCGGCAGCGTCGTCGTCGAGGGAGGCGAACCTGGCGGACATGGTCCACGGCTTGGCACAGCATGCCGCCGTGGCCGCCGCGAACAAGGCCCTGGCAGTGGCGGCGGCAGCGGCCGCGGCCGGCTCCTCCTCCTCCTCCAGCGCCGCCGCCGCGCAGCTGCCCCGTGGCGCGGTGCCGTTCCCTGCGCCCGCGGCGGGGTTCCAGACGTGGACCGGGCAGAACGTGGTGGTGAGCGTGGCCAACAACGAGGCGTACATCAACCTGCACTGCCCGCGGGAGCCCGGCACGCTGACCAAGGCGCTCTTCGTGCTGGAGAGGCACAGCATCGAGGTCATCACCACCACCATCTCCGCCCAGGACGGCTTCCGCATGTACGGCATCCATGCGCGCGTAAGTCATCAAACATTGTTACCTTACCAGCTGGCTTCTTTCTTATCAAACATGCAGTTCTATCTCGAGCTGGGACCTTACAAATTTTTGTTTGCGTCGTGGACGATGGACCTGCAGGCCAATCCGGCTTCGGAGTCGGCTCGCTTTCCGGAGAATCTGTGTGCTGAAGACAGGTTCAAGCTGGCGGTGTCGGAGATGGTGCAGCTGATCAACATCTGATCGAGGCCAGCCAACGCGCACATGCTCATGCTCTCGCCGATGCAACAAATCGCTCTGCTCCTTGGACTTGGAGTTGAGCTATGCTATGCTGCTGCCGTCGTCGTTTCGTGTTAAGACTTAAGTCTGGTCGTCGTTGAACTCGTTTAATTTGTTTCTCAAAGAGTCTGTCTGGTTTGGGTCAAGTTTGGTCGTCGGTTTGAACTGTTTTGTTTCTGAAAAAGAGTCTGGTGCGTGTCAAGTTTGGTCGTCGGTGAACTGTTTTATGCCTGAAGACAACAGTCGTCTGGTCGTACCGTATAATAAGTACTGTTCGAAGTTAAACCTGTCGTGGATATATGATCTGCTGTATGCATGGTTTGTTGGTCACTATTGGAGCTGCAGACTTGCTTGCTACTCGATCAGATAATTTCGGGGCCCGCGGCCTCGTTGCTGTTCACGACCCTCTCGTGGTAAATTTTGGGCAGATCTGATATGTTCCAATGCACGCCAAGTGAATCCGCAAATGCATATGCATGGATTGCTGCCTTGATGCCAGTCCTACCTGTTACTCTGTTTCCTCCTAGTTATTATGACTGAACCAGTCATGAGTCATCGAACCGAACCGGTGACAGCATCGGTTCACTGGTTTAACTATTGAGAATTGAAATAGTTGTGGACCTTTTAAATTGAACCGGCCACGAATTAAATACTTCGACCCTCATATACAAGTCCATACATACACAGAGTTGGATGTATAATAGTATAGCTAGCATTTTCTTTCCTTTCAAAAATTGAATCTCCTAATGTTTCCTTATGAAACACAGTTCCTTTTTGACAATCCAATCTTATAGCTTCCCTATATTTGGGAATTAGTTACACCCATGATCAGAAACTACAATATGTTTTTTTTTCTTTGGCAGGTGACACGAACGATGACAAATAAAATGATTTCATTTTTGCTATAATTCTAATATTTCATTTTGCCATTGGCAAGACAGCTTGCTCCTTCAAATACTTCGTTCGTTCAAGCGAACAATTCATTGATGTTCCACAACCCCAATACAAATTGTTGGAGAAGATGATGCGAGGTAGGAGGGCTGTTCGATTTAGGCCATGACAACAACATTTACCATCTTAGTATTTAGCCAGCAAAATAAGCCATTATGATAAAAAAATTACGAGATTAATCAAGAAAAAACCTACACAATTTGATTTTACGATGAACCAATGGCTTAGTTAAATTAAATAGTTCATTCCTAATACAACTGTAAGAGTATATTCAGAAAAAAAAATAACCTATGTTGTTGGATTTTACGATGATGATCTAACTGTTTTAGATCAAATCAAATAGTCGATGCCTAATACAATTACAAGATTAATTTTTAAAAAAAGAATAACATATAGCTGGAAAATATGGCTTTTCCCGGCTCCTCACAGATTTGACACAAATAATTATAAAATTATCATTGGAGCTGCTTTTTGCCAAACGTTTTGCAAAATGTCTCACATCCACTAGAGAAGTTACTCCACAAGAGGAGGTGGAGTACCCTTTTCACCTCCACCAGAGAAGTTGCTCCACAAGTGGAGGTGGAGTACCCTTTTAGGAGCCAAACTAAGGCCTTGTTTGGCGTCAGCTCCATGAACAACTCCATCGGTGGAGTTAGAGCCGTTTTGGTAAACCGTTTGATAAAATAGCTTCACATATAGAGCTCCTTAAAACACGCTCTCACAGTACCCCATGCTAGACCCACAAGGACGAGGTGAACCCGGGTGAGAAGACACTTTTTGTGGCTCTATCTCACTTCAAACCTCTGTAAGAGCATGATTTAAGGGTCTTCCTAGATGAAGCCGTTTTATTTTACCCTGTTTAGCACAAAATGGCTCCAAATGCTCCTAAAACCGGTGGATAAGCTGTGCCAAACCGGGCCTAATCCTTAATGAGTGACAACACCCTTATTCATCTCTGGTAAAAAGGTCAACCTTCCATGGGAAAAAGGACCAAGGCCTCTATGGGAGATGGAAGTGTATAGTTTGACAAGAACTAGTTCTACAATGTAGGGCCTACTTGGTTGGCTTTCAAAAATTTTCAAGCCAAAGATTTGGCAACCAAACGTTGCCAAAAGTTAGGCAAAAATATTTACCACAGATTTGACAAGTTAAATCAGAGGTATTAGCAAATTTTGGCAACAAACCAAATAGAAGCCAAATATTTAGCTTGCTCAAGTTTTGGCAGCTAAAATTTGGCTATCCACCTCAGGCTCCTAATCCTACTCATCTCTAATATAAGGATCAACTTTCCCTAGGAAAATCAGAACAATGCCTTCACAAATTCAACATTTCTGAGAAACGCGACTATTTCTCATCTAATAACGTTAGTAGCATTGTAATTTGCTTGAAACATGAAATATGCCACAAACTTTGTACGCCCATGGGCTACTTGGACTCACATGTAGCCAATCATATTTTCTTATAGACCAAAATGCCCTTGCCATTTTGCCTCTCTCCACTCATAAACACATGGGCCCCACCTATATATCATCCCTTACCTCTCCTTCACTGCTCAACTCCAGCCATCGTGCTCTCAGTCATCTATGTCTCATGCCGCTGCCATCGCAGGCTGCTCTCCTTGCCTATGTTGTGAGCCGCCGCCGCCTATGGTCCCCATCGTTGGAGCGGGCGACACTCGAACCTTCCGCTCTCTGCGTGGACCTAGCAGTGGTCGACGACGATTATTGTGAAGGCCGCGGGCGTACCTACTAAACCGTGCACTCCACTCGCACCTGCGTTGCTTCCTATATAGTTGTTGTAACATCCTCAGTGTTACATACCCCTAATCACGGGATTCCGACGGATCGCGCATGGAAGGGATCGAGTGGCCGGACAGACTCACGTCGGGTGCAATACGTGCTGAATGCACGCTCGATCATCCTCGTGCAGGGTGTGATCTACTGATCTGGTTGGCATTTGTTTTTTTTCCAAATAAATTCAGTTTTGTGAAATTGCGCATATAGCTATTCGCATTGCCAGCCACGTACTAACACGTATACACACGCTACTTACATGTAATTCACGTACACCGGCCACCCCAATTTTTTACAATTTGGCCCTTTTTTTGAAGAACATTTACGTTTGACTCCCTGAGAGACTTAAACTCATCTTTGAACCCTGGCGGTCGGCTAGTTTGATGGAAACCTGTTCTGTACAGCAAGCAGAAAAATCGTCGAAAACAAATAAAAAATGTTGTGTATTCCAAGCAGAAAAAACCGTCCCAAAAACGAAAAGAAATTGCGAGGCGCACCTGTCATGTGCCTGATGCATTAACCATGTAGGCCCTGGTGGCTGCCAAATCTTTCTTGAACAATGTTTAGGTTCGCTGTTGGCACATACCGTGCACTGTGCCACCAGCACAAGAGCTACGGATAACTCGTGCTCTGAGTGTGCCTTCATTTGCGGCAAGCTTGGCATTGGCTCGGTCGCCCATTTCAGCTCAGAGTCGCGCATGCCTAGCCCTCCTGTGTGGGACTAAAGCGACATCGAGCAGCGTCTCCTCCCGTATCTTCACAGTTCGTTCAATGGTTTAATACCTGTGCTTTTACGTGTTTATTATCACGTCAGGCGGATCAATGGAGCATGTTGCAAGGAGATGTTGCGCTAGCAAAGAGATATTGCGCTAAAAAGAGCATGTTGTAAGTCTATGTTTTAAGTGTTTCGAATGTTTCATAGGTACGTTGTAAGTGTTTTATATAGATGTTATAAAAGTAGACTGAGATATTGCATATGTTGTAATAGTTGTACACGTATGTTGCAAGCTTTTATTTCCAACATTTCATCTGTTTTTTAGACGTATGTTGCAAATGTGTTTATTTAGATCTTGCCCTCCTGTTTCTGATTTCTATTCTTCTAACAGTAGACGACGACATGCCACATGTTGTGTCCGATTATCTTCTGCAAGAATTCTGTACAAACAGGGAAGCAAAGAACCGGTACAATCTTAGGCACAACACGTCGTGGATTGCGGATGCAACATGCTTCCTTTCCCCAGATGATTCGCGTCACGTCAGCCAGCCATGCGCAGGAGGTGTAGTTCTGACGCCGGCGAAGTTACTTGCGCGTGCACAGGTGCACGAACGCGGCGACGAGCAGAAAAGCCTTGAGCCTGACGCTCCTGGGGATACCGTAGCTTCCCCTGCCGACGGCGACGAGCCCCCTCACGAACGGCCAGAAGCAGAGCACCAGCCAGCTGCAGCACACGAGTTCCCCGACGCCCGGGCCGACGACACCGCCGGGCGCGCCTTCCGCCGTACCGGCGGCGACCTCCCTCCACGCCCCGACGACGACGGCGACGACGCTCAGCATCGCGAGCGCCGTCGGCGGGACGAACACCGGCGACGAGTCGAAGGTGAACCGCCCCGGATCGGCGTCGTCCGCGCCATCGCCAGCGTCTCCGTCGGACGAGCTCTGCTGTTCCTTGCGTGTCACCTCGAACACCGTCTCCGAGAGGCCGAGTGTCTTGAGGACCACGGTGAGGAACGCGAGCAGCCAGGCGGAGGACGACACGATCCGCTGCATCCTGTGGTTGTTCCACCAGGCGCGCGTCGAGAGCCGGCAGTCCATGTACTCGCCCAGGTTATACATGTTGTAGGCCAGGAACAGCGCCAGCGGTATGACGAAACCTGGTTCTGATGCCTGCATCAGTGCATCCCATCACAAGAAGATAAATTTTCAGAAATTTGGATGAAGGTTTCACCTAAAATGATGCATGTACTGATGATAAAACATAGAAGGATTACCTTTGGCAAGAAGGAGCAATTTGCAATGAAGCAGTAAGGTGGTAGCAATGCATAGCACAGCTCAAAAGGTGCCCTGACAGGCCACACGTCGATGGCTAGGTAGGCGACGCATTGCCGGAAATCGAGGCGCTTGAATGCGGCGAGAAGGAACGGGTTATGGCGGCTGAGGAGTATCTCCAGCCAGCCCGTCGCCCATCTCTTATACTGGGTGAGGCTGGCCGGCCCGCCGGTCGGTGCGCCCCCGAGGAACGCCGGAGGGTCGGGGTTCAGGATCGTCGACCTCCAGCCGGCGGCGTGGATGCGCTGCCCGGTCAGGATGTCCTCCGTCATGGACCCGTAGACCCAGCCAACCTCCTGACCCCAGCTCGTGTCGGTCTCGTAGTTGCACGCAGAAACTTGTTTCGCTGCTTCGATGCGACTCGTTAGATCATCTGCCACCACCACAGTTGGCGCCTTGAACATGTCCCCAGAAATGGTGGTCCTCGCCGACTCGATCAGTTCATTCGATCTGCCAAACCTGTTCTGTAGCTCCTTGTAAGATGGTGAATCTGCATGCCAGAGTTTGTATTGTACAACCAGTCAAGGGCATGGACTGAATCAGAATACATCCGACACAGCCCAAAGAAGTTTTCCAAAGATCTCACCTTTGATGCCGGTGGTGCTGGAGTCTGGTGGCACGCCGTAGATGACTTTCCTACGGTGAAAGCAACCGGTCCCACAGTAAAATATGCCTTGAAGTCCGGCAACTCCGTGTACAATTTTCTACATAAACTCATCAGCACAGACGTCAAAGTCGTTGATATATTTATATCTATATCTATCTGTACTAACCTAATAATAAAGAGATAAAGTTTCAGTCTATTTTTTTTGTCCGCCCATTCTTTTGATCTATCTCCGTCAAACTACAGGACAATGGAGAGTTTTTATTCTGATCGGCCAAACAATAAAGGTGCATAGCACATCACGATTCATTTGCATACTCATGAATACTTCTTCAACGTCGACTAAATCGACTAAGCGTGTTTCACCAAGTCTTCCGCTGCGCCGCGCGTCGGGAAGATATAATTTTTTATCATCTACATGTAAGAGATCCTGTTTTTATGTGGTTATTAATATGTGCTAGTGTATAGCCACCTACGTAACCCTACAGTGGTATCGGAGCAGTGCTTGTGTTGTTTTTTATCTAGATTATTTTAACACAATTGGCTGTAAAATAAATCATTTTAACGGATAGCATTATGCGTGTATCGGATTGCTTTACTCCATTTTGGTTCCAAATTATGTGACTGGCTAATTGGCCGTCTTTCCGACGGCGCGCAAGCATCGCACGTCTGACCACGAGGTTGTGAATTCGTGTAGCGAAGCGGTTGATATACAACCTATATGGCTAGAACTCCATGTTTGTTAATTTGTTAGTAGCATGCGAAAATCCATTCTATCCGTCATCGGCTTGCGCAGCCAATTGCGTGGTTTTAAAAAATATATACCCGTGACGTCGTTCTCGTAGAAACGTCTAACTCATTTTTGCAAAAAATGGCGTGATGGTATGGCCTCAAAATTATATCTGATAATCTGTGTGTAATATTTTGGTGTGGTCTGTGTGTCGCTATTTTTTACAGCTGGGTTGAGGCTGTTCTTTTAATTTGGTTTGCGTGCCATCCTGTGGAGTGCCCATGTGATGTAATTTATATTTTATTTTGCTATTAGCATGTAATAGGAAAATTAAATTATGTAATCTGTCAACATGAGGCAAGATGACTCGGCGACTATACCACCTAGAAAAGGGCGTTGAAATTGAGATGCCTAGGAGTAGGCACCCTTACCCGTTGCTAGCGGTCGTCTGGAAGTGCTAATATTCGTTGGACGAAGAGAGACCATACTAGCTATACAATAATCTGATTATCTGTGACGTTCATATTTATACATTGCCTGTGATGGGTACGAAAAATCCCTCATAAAAATTAAGTTTTATGCCCTTCCAACAGCTGCATCTTTTGGGTCTTGTTAGTAGGTGATGGGTCTGCCAAAGCAGGGCATCATCTTCTACCTTGATCTATTGGGTGGTGTCAGACACCATAGCATAGTGTTGGTTTACTTGACGAAACTATCAAGCCGGACTTGAGTTTCGGGGCAGAACGTTGAAAGCCGAGATATATGATATCAACCAACGAACCAGAGTCGCATTGGATGCGATTGGGAAGCGTTTCCTACTTAGTTCACTATGATGCTAGCGGTGATGCCAAAGCTCACTAGTTCCATAGGGAACGTGGGATCTTGTCCCACTATACAATATCGGTGGACGTTCGCAAAACATATTGGGGTTTCTTTTATTAAAAATGTTTTAATGAAAGTAGTGCTAACCGTTGCATATCTTTGTTGTTGTAGAAAATGTCAAGCAACTCGAGTTTCAATTTGCGATTAATCCTAGATAAAGAAAAGCTAAATGGAACTAATTTTGTTGATTGGAACCGGAACCTGAGAATTGTTCTCAGGCAGAAAAAAGAGTACATTCTTGTTATGCCCTACCCGGATGAGCCTCAAAATGTCGCGCACAATTCTAATGTGTATCGTGCTTATGTGAAGCACACTGATGACACTGTGGATGTGTAGTGCCTGATGCTTGTTTGCATGAACTCTATGCTGCAGAAGCAATATGAGAGCACCAATCCGCATGATATGATCGTGGGGCTACGTGGCATGTTCGAAAACCAAGCAATGTTTGACAGGTTTAACACCTCGAAAACCCTATTTGGTAGCAAGCTTGCTGAAGGCGCTCTGGTCAGTCCTCATGTAATCATGATTGGTTACATTGGGAGCTTACAGAGACTGGGTTTTCCCCTCGATGACGATATCACTACTGATGTGATACTGCAGTCTCTACCAGTTACTCTCTCCGTTCCAAATTATAAGTCGCTTTGACTTTTTTGTTACATCCATTTTATTATTCATCTAGATATAATAATATGTCTAGATACATTGCAAAATGGATGAACCAAAAAAGTCAAAGCGACTTATAATTTGGAACGGAGGGAGTAGCTTTGAGCCATTTATTATGAACTTTCACATGAATGGCTTGAACAAGATGCTGACCGAGTTACAAGGGATGCTGAACACGGCAGATGTGAGCCTTAGGAAGGCTCCTGGTCATGTGATGACTGTCCGGAAGGGTAAGAAGCAAAAGCGTCTAGCAAGGCTAAGAAACCTGCTGAAAGTGAGACTTCTGGGCAAGCAACTAAGGCCAAAGAAAAGAATAAAAAGGCTGGCCCCCTTTGATGATGTTTGTTTCCACTACGGTGTGAAATGACATTGGTTGAGGAATTGCAAGAAGTACATGGAAGAGAAGAAAAAGAATAGAGGTGCGACCTCCACTCAAGGTATTGATGTTATTGAAATTAATCTTGCAACATGTTCTAATAATGCATGAGTATTTGATATTGGTGCAATGATTCACACTTGTAAATCATTGCAGGGATTGAAAATAATTAGACGCTTTGCAAGAGACGACGTGGATGTGCATGTCGGGAATGGAGCAAAGGTTGCTGCGTTGGTGTAGGGTCGAGACGGCAAACTAAAGGGGGGCGAATAGTCATTTCTAAAAATTATTCGTGCCGGCTAACCGTAATAAATACGGAATTAAAACTAACGGTATATCCAAGACTACACCCATCTATCTAAGTTCACAAGCACCTTATAAAGATGCTAAATAGGCAACAAAGGTGCCGGGCTAACTAGAGCTCACCTAATCATTTCTAGTAGCAAGGTCACACAAACCTATATATGCAACTAGTACTCAAGCAACTGAGGGAGCTCCTACACAATCTAGTAAGCAAAAGCACAAAGCTCCTAAACTCACTAGCAATACTCAATAATAAGGCTACACAAGCCAAATTAAAGAGCACAAATTACTTAGCTACACAAACTAAGTAATGTAACTAATAAAGCTACTCAAGCCAAATTAGTTACGCAAGGGAGCTACTTCTATGCTACACAAGCAAGAAGGTAACTAGCAAAGCTACACAAGCAAACTAATTACAAGAGCAACTACACAAGTATAATATATGAAATGTAAATACAAGCTTGTGTATGGGGATCGCAAACCAACAGGAAGTTGATGACACGGTGATTTTTATCCTGAGGTTCACATGCTTGCCAACATGCTAGCCCCTGTTGAGACAAGCTCCAAGGTTACTGCCGGTCCTCTTGCTAGTGGTGACCCGCAAGTCACACTCTCCCATGTGGAGTGCTTACCACAAACTCTAGCACTTGACCTGGCCTGACCACTTGTCGCCCTTCGTGTCTCCCTCTACTAGAGTTGCTCTTCGCGGCTCCCGCGGGGTGAGCAAATACCCCTCACAATCTTCTCCGGAGCACCACATAAGCTTCCTTGCGTGCTTCGATGAAGATCAATCCATCAAGCCATCTAGGAGGTGGCAACCTCCAAGAGTAACAAGCACCACCGGCTTGCAACTCGATCACCTAGTGCCACTCGATGCAACCTCACGATGCAATCACACTCACACTCAATCGGATGATCACTATTAAACGTATGTGAGTTCGAGGGCTCCCAAGAACACCAACACAAGCCACCAAGGCTTAAGGGTGCTCAACAACCATCCCAAGGTCGAACAAGTGCTTGGTTAAATAGCCCAAGGCTCAAAAGAGCCGTTGACCAAAGTCTGCCTGCATAGGGTCTAGACCGGACCCTCAGACAACGACCGGACTCTCCCTGTTCACAGGGTCCGGTCCACCAGATCTGGCCACCTGTCACTGCTTCAAACGCCGACCGTTGGAACTCATCGGTCACCTGCGGGAGCCCCTGACAGCATGTGACCGGACCCGTAGAGCCAGAGTCCGATCACATCAAAGCCACGCAACAGTAGGATCAGACTCGCCTGTTCAAACCAGACTAGACTCATGGAGACCAGGGTTCTGTCGTTTCTAGAGAGCTCCCAGAGCACCTGAAATCGATTGGACCGGGTTCGGTTGAGCCGATCGGACTCAGCGCCATAGTCCGATCATTTCTAGAGAGCTCCTAGAGCACCTGAAATCGATAAGGGTCCCGTCGCCCTTCACGCCAGAGTCCAAAGCAGAGACCATGCACCCTTCGGCCAAGGTTGAGTCCGGAACGGACTCGCCCCTTCAGGGTTCAGTCCTGGCCAAGCTAGGGTCTGGTCCCCTGTTTTGCCTCCTTTTCTTCTCCAACCACTTCTTCTTTGCAAATGTGCCAACACCACTAAGTGTACACCACCATGTGCAAGTGTGTTAGCATTTCACAAATATTTTTCTAAAGGATTAGTCACTCATTTCTCCATGCCACTTGATCCTAGCAACGATGCAAAGTTAGATCACTCGAGTGGCACTAGATGACGGATATGCAAACAAGTTTGCCCCTCTTAATAGTACGGCCATCTATCTTAAACTCGGTCATAAACTTATCTACACACCTACAACTGGTGAAATGAAATGCCCTATGGTTATACCTTTGCCTTGAGCATTCCATTCCATCTCCTCCAATATTGATGCAACACATGCACCAACTATATTACAAATTATATGATCCACTCCATATCATCACATGACCGTATTAGTTCATTGATCATGACTTCACTTGCTCTTCATCGTTGCTTTGGTGCATTGGCGCCAAGTCTTGCTCAAGCTTCTCACCACCATGTGGTCCATCGCTCCAAAGCCTCCGACTTGCCCTTCACGTTTGCAGTCAGTCCATCAAGCCAAGTCTTGTCTTGATCTTCTCCACCTTAGTC